AATTATTCCGGCATTTTTACATGTAAAATCAAAAAGAATAATGCAGTAACTAATNAAAAATGCAGTAACTAATTATTCCGGCATTTTTACATGTAAAATCGAAAAAAATGCCAAAACTATCAGTTTCGGCGTTTTTACATGTAAAATCAAAAAGAAGAACGCCAGAACTAATTATTCCAGCGTTTTTACATGTAAAATCGAAAAAAAACACCGAAACTATCTGTTTTGGCGTTTTTACATGTAAAATCAAAAAGAAAGATGCCGGAACAAATTATTCCGGTGTTTTTACATGTAAAATCGAAAAAAAACGCCGAAACTATCTGTTTTGGCGTTTTTACATGTATAATCAAAAGGAAAAACGCCAGAACTAATTATTCCGGCGTTTTTACATGTAAAATCGAAAAAAATGCTGAAACTATCTGTTTCAGCGTTTTTACATGTAAAATCAAAAAGAAAAACGCCAGAACAAATTATTCTGGCGCTTTTACATGTAAAATCAAAAAAAAACGCCGAAACTATCTGTTTCGGCATTTTTACATGCAAAATCAAAAAGAAAACCGCCGGAACTAATTATTCCGGCGTTTTTACATGTAAAATCGAAAAAAAAATGCTGAAACTATCAGTTTCGGCGTTTTTACATGTAAAATCAAAAGGAAAAACGCCAAAACAAATAGTTTCGGCATTTTATATATAAAAACAAAAGTAAAAAACGTTACAAAACGTATTTTTACAATATTTAATAATAAAACTTTGGGTAACCCGAGTTACCCGAAGTGACCCAAATACTTTCGGGTCAAATGGGTCGGGTCAGGTCAGAACGGTTTACCCGACCCGACCTGACCTGAAAAAAAATTTTGGTTCGGGTTAACCAGGTAACCCGACCCGACCCGACCCGTGCGGAGCTCTATTCTGATGTCAGACTCAAGTCCATTATCCCATTTTCCAAAAGTATATTTCTGATTTCATGTTGGTATTCAAAAATTGAATAAAATTGTGTTCATCTCCTGTGAATGTGTCTCTGACTCATTTAACAGGTTTCTTATTGCTTCAGCATCATACTTATCAATACTTTCTTCTTGGTTGTTACATAAATCGGACTGTCCAGGAAGTTGTAAGTTAATTAACATTGTTAAACAATAATTTTAACTAAGAATTTTTATACATCCTCATTTGAAAGATTCAGCTTGTTTTTATCTTCATATTCTTCGTAATATTGGGGCTTGAAAGATAAGTAAGAATATGTCGATAACATACTACACCACACAGCAAACAATAAGTACAAACCAATTCTGATTCAGGTGCGAAATACAGAGCTCATTTTCCATTGGAAGATTCTGCTCCACTGGAAGATTCTGCTTTAACTAATCGCTTTTTATTTGACATTTGTAAAACTTCTGAAATTATGTTCCGAAAACACTGTACAACCCATTCAGAAAACCAGCTGTGGAGTCAATAGAGCAGAATAGCAAGGCAAGTCAACCAGGTAGGTCAGCAGGTAGGTTGCACCCCTAGTTAGCAAGTAGATTACCTTTATGTGCGAGCGAGCGGAGCAAGTGGAGCGAATGCAGTGAGTGGAGCAAAAAGAAATGACATTCAAAAAAATATTCTAGTTTCTGAACCAATTAAAAACATAACTTTAAAAAAAGTTTCCTTTGGTTATGAGAAAAACAAGTCCGTTTTAAAAAAATTTGATTGAGAATTCCAAATTGGAAAAATTAATCATTTAATGGGAGAAAACAGCTTTGGAAAAAGCACTATAATTAGTTTGATTCTGGGTCTTTATCAGCCGAGTGAAGGAGAAATATCAATTAATAATAAATATAAATTAAATGAATTAAACTTAGTCAAATGAAAGATAAAATTCATTATAGAACTTTTCACAATTTTCCCGTACGACGGTGCCTTCAAACGTGTCACAAATATAATATAAATCTTTACAAAAAGCAGATACACTATTTTATAATAGTCCTTGAAAATATAAACGAGTGTTTGTCTCCAATCGTCATATACAGTATTCCACGGTAAGATTATTTCGTCGGATTTCAAACGAAAGCCTAGGTAATGCTTCAATTGCCAGTACCTGGCCTTTACGTTTTTAAAATAACTATGGGCTTTTTTATTATCAGGAATCTTAAAGGTTAAGAAATTCGTAGATCTTAGTACAGCAGTCATAACGAATTAGTAAATCAAGTAAATCAGAACAAGTTTATCTATCTGGATTCTGAAGTAATAATAAATTTTTTATCCTCAACTATCATTATACGCGTAGTTTATATAGTGACGCGTTTTTTATTCAATAATAACTCACGTGGCAGATCGTCACTCGTCAGTCGACTCCGGTTATATTTGGAGTTTTTATGGAGATTTTCTGGTATTATTGTTTGAGGGCGCAACTATGCTGAAGTTATTCGTGCAGTCCACTCAATCGGCGGCGAGTGCTTCCCTTGGTATATATTTACTTTGGAGACGCCATAACTTCACGCTGTCCACTCATTTGGCGGTGAAGTTATGAGTTGCTTGGTACTAACAACTGTTGTGCAGTCCACTCAATCGGCGGCAGTAGTTGACCTGCTGACTTTGCTGAAGTTACTCGTGCAGTCCACTCAATCGGCGGCGAGTGCTTCCCTTGGTATATATTTACTTTGGAGACGCCATAACTTCACGCTGTCCACTCATTTGGCGGTGAAGTTATGAGTCAGTTGATATTCAAGTTATCTCTTGATAGTAACCAGCCTCTTATCAGCAAAATTCTCCATCATACAGTAGTTAATTAATTTTAAAATGAACACACTTCCACACATAATTAAAATTTATAAACCCGAAAACTTTATTATGAGATAAGTGATAATATATTATGTGATGTGAAATAATATGATACTATCAAAGAGGGAGGGAGTACGCGAATCCTAGGCCATTTAATGCGAGTCCCAGCATCACATTATTTTGCTCTCGAAATAATTTCTACAAATAATTTATTTCTACATCTATTACTAAAGATTCTCACCCCCATAATCTTTCTTTACAATAGAATTCTGAAATAAATTACTCCACTTATATCTACAGAATTTTCGTCTATCTATATCATCCCGCCCGCACAGACTATACTAAAGATTATTTCCCCCGAGAGAACTTTCCCAATATTAATTAATTTCGAACCTATAGCATAAATTCGGGAGATTAGCAACTGAGGTAAATAAGCAAAGCAATATTTTCGATTCACACTTACCAATATACTTTATTTTCATAATATTCCCATATACCCTATATACAAGGAATTGATTGCTTAATTTTTTCTGCGTTATCACCGGAAAAATTGTTTGATATGCTGTGCCAGACTTTTGCTGTGCCATAGCATGTGACGAGATTCATGTGCAGTGTCTATACGCGTGATGATTGTTGAGGATTTTATTGGCGAAGATCGTATTATTTTGTAGCATCTATAGAGCTGAAAAATGGGTTAACATTGTGATGTTCTTCTAGAAGCTAGTCGAGCAATGAAATCAAAGTACCTTGTTATTACTTCGCGGAATATATGAGTTCGTTTGATAGTTAATATTGATAATGTTAATAGTGGTAAGTTTTGATTTTTCGCTTGATTTTTTGCTTTAATTGCACAAGGCAGATAAAAGGGTCACTAACCGGGGCATCACCTTTTTATATAATTTGCAGGATCGATCATGGAATACACTTTTAGGGGAAATTACGTTAATATGATCGCATCACGAAATCTGATCAACAGTTTCTCCTTAATTTACAATAGAGTATATAAAGATCGTCAAGGAGAGTTTTTATTAATAAATTTCATTGAGTACATGCAGGAAAGTTCGAGAATAAATGCTATACTACGGTTATAAATAAGTTATAACTAATGACTGTAGATACTGCGGTCTATCAAAAATAAATTACAAGAATTGTGATACATGACAAGGACTATCCTATACATTGTACTAATACCATATCCTATCATTATTTCCATAATCCGTTTCATTTGTGCCTTCATGATTCTCAAAAAATCATGGAACGAAAATACTATTAACCTTGTAATTCTGAGTTGTTTCATTGAAATGCGTAGTCACAACTGGAGTACACCCACCTTAATCGCGCAATGTTTTGTACGAAATTTTTTTCACTGACACTTTTTTCATATCGCCTATTTTTGTATTTGCAAGTAAATGAGAAAATCTTAGGTTGCACAGAATATTGTACTGCGCATTTCAGGTGATCGATCTCACATTCTCTACTGCGTATACGGTAAGACGAATAGTTGTGGAGTCCGGTGAGGATGTTATAAGAGTAATACAGAAAGGAGTGGTGTTGAGTTAACCAAATAAGTATAGTATATAATATGAAATAATCTACTCTGCTGTATGATTTGTAAAGCCACTACTGTGTATGTAATAGCAAATAATTGTTGTATAATTTGTAATACTCTTCTGCAGTATACAATCAAGACAAAGGTCTTATTGTCCCACACCTAGAGATTGGAATCAATTAATTGAAAATTGACAAAACATAGTAAAATCGATTCTCGAGAATCAATTCTCAGCAATTTTTTACATGTAAGTTAACCTGATTTCAAAGTAATTTTTCATGCTGGCCAAGTGCTGATTATTTTTGCTGAAATTAGAAACTGATTCAAAGTCAGGTTGGTCGTCTATAAGAAAAATCTTGAAAAGATTCGATTTTTGATTCCAATCCCTACCCACACTGCCACACGAAGGAAATAATATTATCTTCACAAATATTATCTTCACTTGTTTTATGTGAAAAATTATTACTTCTTAATATATCTTCACTTATAAATATTTCATACAAAAAAACATTATTTCTACTTATTTTACGCGAAAAAAATATTATTTTTATTTGTTTTACGCAAAAAATATTGTTTTTACTTGTTTTACGCGAAAAAAATTTTATTTATAAAGCTATCTCACATGAAAGTGTAAAAGAATATTATCTTGCTTGTTATTTCACACAAATAAAGTTGTCTTACTCTATCAATGGATACTAATTTTGTTAATAAAGAAGATATCATTTATGAAGATGAGCTTATTGAGGTATATTTATTATATAAATCATATTTAGAGTAATCCAAATAATTGTAATATTATAAAATATTATTTTAACACATTATACAGCTACCAGATGGTATATCTTCTAAATTGGAAGAAGATACAGAAATTTATATTACAAAACATATAACGGTTAAAACAATAATTCACTCACTAGTTCCAATCGAATATCCTCCAACAAGTGAGAGAGGTATTGCAATTATATATCATATTGAAAGATGGGAAAACAAAGAGGCAGTATTTTCAAACGTAAATATTTGTTTAAAGAATATATTTTAAGTAAAGATAATCTTAATAATACTAATATTATTTTTTAAGGTTCAATATTCTATGGGTAGACCGTAAATCTGGTGGATAAAATGATACAACTTGTTCTTATTTTAGCAATATTTCTGCAAATAAAAGGATTGAACTTGTCAAGGATTAAAAATGTGTGAATTTGCAGACCTAGAACTTAAAGAAATGGAACATAAATCAGTAGATCCTGATTCAGATTTGTGTCTAAAAATAAATCAAGAATTATCAACCAGTAATAAAAAAAATAATACATTTGTGTAAGTATTACTTGTGTACCTTATCATTATATATATAGTAGTGATTAACTAGTTTTTATTTTATAGTGTATATTTAGTAGCATCTAAAACCAAATGCCGATATGTAACAAATGGAGTACAGTGTATTAGAAAACCTGTATTAAAATATTTGCGACGACATGATGAAACAACACCACCATCTTATTTCATTGGTTATTCTGAATGAAATGAAAGATATCACTGGTTTATTAGCATTAAAGATAATGTAGATCTTAATTTACTTTCTCAACTTTTGAATGGGCTATATGGTGTCACAATTTTTAAATTATTATTTTTTTTATTTTGCTTTATTTTAATTTGTTTAAATATATTTAGGGAGAAACAGATGAACCAGTAAACAACTGTTATATAGTATTGTATAATAATTCAAAAAAACTAATTGCCGTAAGTTTTAAAATATAATATTGAACTTTATTTATTATTGTAAATTATTTATTTATATAGTTTATTTATTGCAACACATCTACATTGTGCAGGTAATATTATTAAGCAAGGTTCAATAATCAGAAAAACATGTAGAGTTAAATATACTAAAATAATTTCACATGACTTAGAAAAATGCTCATATATAATTCTTATATCTAAGGGAATTCATTTTCATTTACCTCCTCCACCTAACCGTGTACCAGTTACTATTCAGGATCATTTACAGGAGCTAATTCACCAAGCAAATGATGATACAGTAGATGTAACACCAACGCGTATTATAACAGGTAACTTAATATTAATTTTATTAAAAAAAAATACTATATTAAATCTTAAAAATATCTGATATTATTCTATTTATTAGGAAATCTTATAAAGACATATTTTGGAACAGAATATCTTGCTGATATGCATGCCTCTTTAAATAATGCTGATCATCTTCGATACTATGTGAATAAGATTCAAAAAGAGATCTATCCATAGGGATGTGGAATTCTTGGAGTTATTTATAATTATTCACAAAATATTAACAATTTTTGTGAATATGTAAAATGTTTAGGTAATTAATTTAGAATATTATCATTAAATTTGTTATCAGTTATATTAATAATTAAATTAACCTTATTTTTTATGATATTTTATTGGAATTCTTTGAAGATAATCATTATATGATTATTTGTACAACTTTTGAGCAATTGAATGAATGGGCAAAATGTAAAAATTTTTAAATAGACTTGTCCTTTAAATGTGTGGCAAGAGGGATCAATGAATTTGAAATAAACTATTATAATTATATATAAACACAATTTAAGTAAGTTAAGTTTTACTTTTATTTGATTATTCATTATAATTTTAGTAAAACTATCATTATTAATAATCAGTAAACCTTTTCAGTTCTTACTTTTGCCCGCATTTTTACAAATAGTATAAATACAATTGCTTATCAATGAATGTTTTGTGCTCTGTTTGATCTTGTAAAACAATTAATAGGATCATCTGTTCAATTTCAACATATTCATAAAACTGGTTGGAATTGCATTATTGCAGATTTGGATTACGCTCAAGCTAAAGATCTCAGATTTGTATTAAATGAAATAGATAGAACAAAAAGTTAGAAAGAACACCTAATTTATATTTTCAAATCTTGTCATATACATTATAAGAGGTAAATATAAATTTTTAATTTGTTTGTTTTAACTAATATTACTATCAATATGATATAACTATATAGTCTAAGTTATTATAATTATTATATAGAAAAATCCAGGAAAAGAATTATGATAATAGTGTAAAAAATAATATGTATGCACTTCTGTCAACTGAATCAGAAAATATGATTAATAAATTGTTCAATAATATTCAAATGGCTGATGAAAGCACTTCTGGTCTGTATTTATATTTAATAATAAAGCTGTTTTATTATTTATTTATATATATTTAAATTATAAATTTTATTAATTTATTACTAGATTGGATCACATTTTACCATCAAAATTGGGTTATCACGTCACTAAACAAATATATGTCAAAGATTGATGATGAAGTATGGATAGCATCTCCTGATAATACAAATGTTGCGAAAGCAGCACATGCACTGAGTAATCATTGTAGGAAGAGTCTTAAATTGGTGACTGCTATTATTCAGTACGTAAGGACCCTGAACAATATATATATAGGTCAGATAAAAAATTCAAAATTTACTAAGGTCAATAAGCAAATATTTTTCATGTCTGCTAAGCAAACTTTTATCTAACCCATAAATTTTTTACACTGCTAAGCAATTTATTTTATAACATATATATATTTATATATAATTTTTTTATAAAATATGTATATAAAAAAAACTAAAAAAACAAAAATTTTTGAAATAATGTATGGATAAAGCTATTATTATTTTTTTGTAATATTACAACTTATAAATGTTTCTTATTAATATTTCGTATATC